ACTGGGGTACAGACCAGAGGTGCAGCATTAGAAGGGGGTGAGAGGCTTCACCAGAGACAGAGTGGGGAGCAAAACAGGCAGATTGACTGAGATATAGTGCTGAGGGGAGCAGTGGGCGAGACAGGAGAGGTCTGCTGCACCCTGTGGGTCACCTCCAGGACCTGTTGTGGACCTTGTGCTGCAGGGGCTGTGATTAGCTTCATAGTGCGGAGCCTTAACCCCCTGTGGCACCAGGGAGGCCCCTGTTTAACTACTTTCTTATTCTAACTCTCCCCCCACTCCTACATTTAATTTATCAAATAATACTAGTGCTTCTGTCTCAAAATCTTTTTCAAATTTCCTTCTCTTTATTCCTATTGCCACTGTATTTGCATAGGTCCCTGTTTTAGACTCGACAGGGTCCCCCCAAGAGTCATCTGCTAAAGCTCAAACTCCCAATGTGACTATCAGATGGTAGAGCCTGTAAACAGACAATTAGCTTTAAATGAGGTCCAAAGAGTGTCACTGATCCAGCAGGGTGTGTTTTTAAGAGGAGGAAGACACCAGGGAAGCTCATGGATACAGGAAGGCCCCCATGAGGACACAGGAGAGAAACTAGTTTACAAGACCAAGAGGAAGCTTCAGGAGAAGCTGAAGTTGCTGAAACTTGATAGTGTACTTTCAGTTTCCAGAACTCCAAGAAAGTTCTTTTCTGTTGCTTAAGTTACCCAGTCTGTGACATTTTGCTACAAGAGTCCTAGCAATGTAATCAAGTGTTCATAATTTATCATCAAGAGCAACGTAATCGAGTGTTCATAATTTATCATCAAGGAAGTTGAGATAGTTCCTGGACTCTCCCATTCTCCCTGCGTTACTACTAGGAGGCTTCTCGGTGTCTGCAGTCATATTTTGAAGAACCGCCGCCTACTGAGTTCCCATCAGCCAACCTCCGTGTTCTCTGTCCATTGCCAGGAGGAGATTCATGGTTCTGGGATAGAGCCAAAGTCCCTTAGACAGATGTTCACCACATCTAGCTTTTCCTGTGTCTTTTATGATAGCATTTTTCAGTGATACAAATTATATCATAAAAAGCACTTTTTCATACATATGTCTCATACGACGTAATTCTTTTGAAACAAATCCTTAAGTATATAACCCTCCAGTATATAGCTGAAGAAACTGACTGAGAATGTAAGGAAATCGCACAATGACTCACGGATACTGAGTAGCAAAAACATCCTAGAAATGTACTACTTCTGATGCAAAGCTCATTACTATTTCACTCTATCACATTTAAGAATGACATATCAGATTATATTCATTTGGTATGCACAGTGGAGTTGTAGCAAACATATATTTAATTTATCTGAATTAAACTACAAGAAAAGGCCCAGGATGGAAATCACTTAAATTAAACACAGGGCTGTGACTCTTTCAATAAGCAGAGGCTCCAGGCATTGCAATCCATCAAACTTGAAAGAATAATTTAGATTTGGAAAATCCTATGAACAAGAATCTTTGGATTTCAAGGAGTTTCAGCCATTGACCAAGAAGGAAACAAGTGATTATTAACCTTAAGTAAGATGCTAAATTTAGGGCTCTAGGGAATCATTAAAGAAAAGATAATCTGAAATGTAATTGATGAAGGTAAAATTATTTCCTCTTTGAAAAATTTCCCTTCGAAAATAAGCAAGTTGAACTAACTTCTATATTTTTTATCTCTTTTAAGTGCATCATTAGAATACTGTAAACAGGTAGTCTAGTTCTTAATCACCTTCTTTAAAACCAAAGTAACTCTAGTAATCAAATTTGAACATGAAAAACCAAGGACTAACACTGGCTTCATGCTAAATTTACAGACACAAACAGAATGCCTAATTCATCTAACCAGCTTCTCTGTAATAATCAAAAAAGTCTTCCCAGTAGATAAGTTTCCAGTCAATCAACCAACCAATTTTTTCTCATATTGTGTGATGATTAATTTTATGTGTCAACATGACTTGGCTAAGGGATGCCTAGACAGCTGGTAACACATTGTTGGGTGTGTCCGGGAGGGTATTTCCAGAAGAGATTAACATGTGACTACCTAGACTGAGTCAAGAACAGCTCTCCCAAGGTGGGTAAACATCTAATTCATTGAAGGCCCCAATAATAAAAGAGACCGTAAAGACAAAGTCAGCCTCTCGAGCTCGGAAGTCCATCTTTTCCTAGAGCTCCAAGTTCTTGGGGCTTCACAGTCAGAATGAGAGGACTGGACTCCCTGATTCTCCAGTTGCAGAGAATAGACATTGGGACTTCACAATCGACATCACAGTGTGAGCCAATTCCTACAAAAAATGTCTCTGCATGCCCCTCTTTTTCCCTCCATATTATTGTTTCCACAAATAATGAACAAGACAAAAGGAGGCAAAGATATTCTTTGAGCTTACATATGCTTTAGATGAGCATGTATAAAATTGCTACACCATTGGAACGGTATTAGGAAGGAACTATCTCCTCTTTGCTGAATGCCCTATAGGCTTTCATTAACTGTCCTATCTTGCTATTTTCTCTTGCATTTAAGGATATGATTAAATAAAGGTTAGTAACAAAATTTTATCTCAGTCCAGCTTGGCTACCTTTTCTCAAGTAGACCATTGTTATATGACATGATTAAATTGAAATCAAGTGAAATGTTAATACAGTTTATCTATTTTTATTTGCTTAAATTCTTTATTTTTATCTTTTATTTGTTTAAATTCTTTATTTTTATCTTTAGCCCGGAAAAGAGATGAGTTGTATTTCCCACTTTTCTGTATATATTTTCATTGTCTATTCTGGGTATGTTTCCTTTCCTGTGCCTGGATATCATAAGGGGCAGTATAATTATACAATTTCCATTTCAGCTATAAATAGAAGCAGTGAGATGGGCATAGGTCTCTAAAATTGGTGAAATACTTCACTTGTGATTCAAAGATTATGATATTACTAAGCAATTATTACATTTCTTGAGTGAAAAACTTCCTAAGTAGTTACATAAGTAGTTACATAAGTATTCTATGTGATCAGGAATATGTTATGTTATGTTAGAGATACTGAACAACATTTTGGAGAATACTACTAATTGTTTTCAAACATTAGAGATAAATTACTCCTGTTATTAAAAAAGGGTAAAGAAAAATTACTTACTAAGAGTTAAAGGAAAAATCACATGTAACACTAAAATGGATACCATTACATTGTTTATGAGTGAACATGTCCCGTGATTTGTGACTAGGGCAATTTTGCCAGCACATTAAAACAAAAATTCCACTGGATCCCAGTAATGATATCATTTTAGAGGTCTGACTCATCAATATAAGTGGAGAATTGTTTATTACATTTGAAATCCATTCAGGATTTTTCATGATAAATATACCAGGGTGTCAGAATTTTAAGTCAACATGCTAAGTATATCACAAATGGCTCAAAAAGAAAGCAAAATCTAAATTTGTAGGTGATATACATTTGTTTTTATTTAACAATACTCATTTAGATAATTTAGATTTTAGATCACATTTGCATAGTTTCTGATTATAACAGTCTATCAAATAAAAAATAAAATAGGCATGATACACTTGAAATCCATTAAAATGCACAATTAATCTACATTTCTAATTAATGTACACAGTATTATGCTCCTTACAGCTTTATTCCTTGAGTGAGGAAAATGTCTTAGTCAATACCTAGATACAGCTGATAAATTGTTTTCAGCAATTATTAGAATACTAATGGTTATTATATTAGAGTTGATGATGCAATGAGAATTTGCTTGCTAAAACTTTAATTAATGTGACTGTCATACAAAATTTTGCTATGAAAGATTACCTTCTCATATGACTTCTCATTGAGGATGGCAGCAAGGAACAATTCTAATGATTTTAAGTACCCATTTCCTAGAACTATGGCATGAATTTCACCTTAGCTTTCTTTGAACACAATAATAATATGATTTATTTCTAGTTTAAAGCATTCCACTGCAATTGTTTTGTTTCCTTGTTTATGGTATAATCATGGGAAGTTCACCTAAGGGTAGAGTGGTAAGTGTAGAAAATTCTGGCTGATTGCAACACATCAGGACTGGATTTGGCCTTCCAATAAAGGATTACTTGGTCCAAAAGTTTTAACACACAGCATCTGGTATTCGGGATAACATCATGTTTTTCTAAAAACCCTAGTCAAAGTTTTGGCTGAGTAGCGTCCCCGAGTATTTACAGTCCTTTTGCCAGCTTTTCTTGCCCAGGCAAAACTGCACTGTCATCACCCCACTGGCATCCACTTAATACCTGTTAATCAGTAACATGCTCTGGGGAAGCTCGAAAAGCGAGTCCTTTGTAGCATGGGATAGATATGAATTGAAAACATAATGAATTAACATCTCACATGGATTAGCATGAAAATCTGAGCTTCGTGGGTCCTTCAAATCTAATCTAGCAGCACACTTACAGTATCAAAACAACCTCTTGATGACTACTTGAGTTAATTTGAAATTAGGTAAATTAAAGAAAGTACATAAGTTTTCTTTTGACTGAATGCAAATGAACTACTAAACCATGGAAAAAGAACTTTTTCATGATTTTATGATCGTTGATCACCATGAATAATGGCTCGAATGTACTAAAACTACTGATTCAATGATGGCTCGTCTCTGAAGACTTTTACTTTTCGTGTCTCTTGAACAATCCAACTGTCCAGTTATTACTTTTTAAATAGAGGTGCATATATCCTTAGTTTAGGTTGAACAACAGCAACAAAAAAGAAGTTGCTGGATCAAGACAAATCTGGGTTTAAATTCTGTAGCCCTGAATCCCTGACATATAATAGCCACTCTCGAGGCCACGTTCCTCTTCCTAAAATTGGGTAAATAAGGTGCATTGTCCCTTGGTCACTGCTTTAAGATCATGAGCCGCTGAAAACAACTTTTGTCTAGTTGGGCAGCAAAACCTGGTGTGAGCCCATCGACATAAGTGAAAGGGCTGGTTATTTATATAACCTCTACCTACTCTGTTATACCGTTCACTGAGGAAGATCCTAAAACCTGAAGATTCTGAGACATAGTTATGCTGAGGGACTTCTTGTAAGGGATTATGGACCTGCAGCAACAACAAAAAAGTTTAACACTCAGAGTAAGAAATGGCTTTTCATTAATAGGGCCTGACAGCAAGAAGGTCTGCAACAAATACCTTTTCCCTTGTTCCTTCACAGAGAAATGTTTTCTGTCAAATTATATTCACATGAGACAATTAATTTCCCTCTCCCCCCATAAAAGCATGATGATACAATGACATCATTTCAAAAGAGTAATTCAGAGTTCAAATCTATACGCTGTAATCAACAAGCCTCAAGCATACATTTTGCAATGCTTCACCACAACTTTACAAAATTTCAAAGGCTGTTCCAGTTTTTATAAACTTAATTGCTTATTAGTTGGGCAGCACAAACTGAAAGACCACCAGGCCTTGAATCACTAGAAATAACGTCTATAAAATAAAAATAAATTAGACAATGAAGAAAATTATTTTGAAGAAAAGCCTAAATATTTCAATGTCTACGTGGTTGACAAAATGGATAAAGAGTAGGCTAACGGACACATGTTTGGAGACTATCTCCTCCAAGGTCAGGGGAAGAACAGCAAACACACCAGAGGGAATAGCATTAACAATCATTAGTTCTCATCCACCAATTCAAAATGGCGATGGACCCATTTACCATTCTGCCTTTAAATTTCTAGTTTTCCAAGAGTACTGTTGATAGTGCCTTCTTATGCGACTCTGAATGCTGTCCACTATGTCCAAGTCAATTGTCTGGAGACACAGTGCAGTTGCTATATCTGTTTCATCAGTGGAGGTAATGCTCCTTCGTTAACATGAAGCTAGTTTTAAAAAATACAGAGAAATTTGAGAAGCAAAACTATTTTATGAAGATTCTTTATGTTGCAAGAACATTATGTCATACAGTAATCATGCCAATTAACGTCTCAAGAACAGTCAGTATCGTTAAATCCATATTGCCCAGAAGTAGTGTCGTTAGACCAGTTTTGCTCTCCTTAGAAGAGCCAGAGGTAAGATGTTACATGTCACACAGGAGGCTTTCAAAGAGGTCTACATTGAAAAGATTTCTCTATTTAATGGGCCTCCTTGGTGGTGCAAGGGGTTAAGGCGCAACACCATGAAGCTATCTGCAGCTATCTGCAGACACTGATGCACGAGTTCAATCCCCAATCCCTGGCCAGGAATGCTCCCCTCAGCAGTATATTTCATTTCATCTTCCTGTTCTGCTCCCCACTCTATCGCTGGTGAATCCTTTACTCCCTCCAACCCCACCTCCACTCCACACACCCCTCAGGCCTGTAAATTACTTTTTGTATGCATAAATAAATAAATCTTACCCAAAAAAGAACCCTCTAAATAAATTTACATTGGGTAAATAATCCATCTACAAATAAGAACATTGGCATGGCCTAACATTGTGAAAAATGGAGCATGACATTTTATGTCATCATGTAACATTTTATATCATGTCACTCTAAAAGACAGAAGAATGAAGATAGTGGCCCTTGTAAGAAAAGGAAATAGACACCCCTTGTGGGAGCAAAGCCAACATAAGAGAGCAAAGTAGAGAACTATCTGAAGAGATTTTAGCCCTAGAAAGCTTTAACTGCACCCATCAAATTCTTTGACCCACAGACTCCGAGAAAGCTTGCATGCTCACTGTTCAGAACGTCTTAACAGGGGCTTTGAGAAACAGGAGCTGCACCGGTGTACTGACTGGACCATAACCGCACCCCAGGATGTAACACTCACTCACCTAGGTGTGGCTATGATTTTAATCTAAGGTTAAACTGCAATTACTACTCTTGTCATTTCCAGACCTATGAACCCACAGATGCTACCCTTACCTCACTTCTATCACAGGTGAATGAAAAAGCTGAATTTGAGAGACAAAGACAATACTGTTTCATCTCCCCACAAGAACCTCCTTGGAAAATTTGGCTCAATTAGGATTATCAGAAGGAAACAGGAAGCATACAAGGTCCATTGTCCTTCCCACCAATTCTTCAAACAGGAAGTAAACAGAGCATGCATGGAAACCATATCCTAATTTTTCAGAAAAAAAGACACACTAATATGACTCAGATTTACATATGAGCATCTAACATGCAGGGGAAATAAGATGATGGAGAACAGGGTAGATGTATTCTCTTCACTGGTTTTGTCTCACATGGAAATTATGTTTGTTCTTGAAAAATAAGTGAGAAGGCAGGTATTCCCCCTCTTTCTATAAGATGAGAGAAAATGTTCTGTCATGAATCATATTAGGGAAAAAAATTGAAGAAAGTTAAGTGTTTCTTTCCTATGGGTCTTTTTAAAGACTAAGATGCTAAACTACCTTGCGAATTTTCCTGAGGGAGATAGTCATTAAGGTGCATGTTCCAACTTCTTTGGCCATGAAACCGTCACTGACTTCCTTCTCTCAGGAGTACAGGAACAAGAGATGCCATTTGGAAAACAATGATCAAAAATGGACAAGTAGAGAACTCACTGCACAAGTATATAAATCCTTCCTGCCTAAAACAGCCAATAAATGTACGCTATGTATGACCAAATGCTTTGTAATGCATTGGACTCCAGACAAAAGGCAAAAATTGCTGAGAGACGGAAAACAAACAAAGATATCTGTGCAATTTACTCAATTTATTGCTGTGATTGAGTTTCCAGCTGCAGTGTGAAGAAGAGAAATTTGGGCAGAATGCTGTGGTGTCCGCGAGCTAAGGAGATGGAGTTAAGAGTCCATGGAAATCAAGGCAGCAAGAATTTTCAGCTATATACTAGAGAGAACAGTACTGGGCAGATAAACTTAATTAATGCATCTTTTACCCCGTGTCATTTACTTTTGTGTGTGTGTGTGGTGAGAATGTTTGAGATTACTCTCAGTAGATTTCAAGTATACAAAACCATGCTATGAACTCTAGTCACCATGCTGTATTTTGTATTGTTTTTTCAATTCCACATAAAAGTGATACCATACGGTACTGGTCTATCCATATGTGTTTTATTTCACATAAGATAATGCCGCCTGAATTCAATCACATGGCCGCAAATGGTAAGATGGATTTCATTTTTATGGCTAAAGAATATTCCATGAGCTGCTGAAACTACTTAAAAAGCATTTTCTTCAAGCAAGGCAGAAAGCTTCTGTGTGTGGGATTTCAAAAGAGAAATTGGATCATTATCATCAACCCAATCTTCAGCTTCCAGAATTAAAAGAGAAATAAGTCAAACTTAACTGCTGTTCATGTAGAGAGGAAGGACAATAAAATATCTTTAATGGAATCATTGCTAAGAAATTGACTTTGGACAAATGTCTGTGATGATCTCATGTTCTGCAACTGTAATATGGAATGATGTTTACAATAGAACTGAAATTATCTCTGTGAGCTAACCCTTTCTCAGCACTAAGCCTGGTGGTATCCAGCCTTAATCCTTCTTTGATAAGCTGGAATATCTTCATTTAAAGATCACTGATGTAAAATGGAGCTCTTTGTTGAATGAAGACACCAATGTATTGTAGGGCAAGGTATTTAGTCGCCCTTTGATATAGTTGTCAAAATTCTAAGTAAAGATTCTTACTGGAAATTCTTTCTACTCTTCCTTTTTGAAAATACTTACACCCTTAGAACACTCCTCTTTTTCTACATAAGGTTTTCATCCCTGCCTTATTCAGAGCAAGAGTTCCTAGGCTATGCTGAGTATAAATATATATATACAACTATTTTTTTTTAAGATTGATTTATTTATTCATACAGAACTGGGTACAGGCCAGAGATGTGGAGCGTGAAAGGATTCACCAGGAACAGAGTGGGGAGCACAACAGGCAGATCGACAAAGTACACTGCTGAGGGGAGCAGCGGGCGGTCAGCAGAGGTCTGCCGTGCCATGTGCTCACCTCCGGGGCAGGTGGGGATGGAACTCATCGGGAAGTGACTTTAGCTTCTTAGTGCTGTGCTTTAACCCACTGCGCCACCAGGGAGGGCCTATATATACACCCATTTTAAAACTTCATGTTTCATAGGAAGTAGTAGTAGATTTTAAATAACATTTCCCCTTTACACACATCTCCCTGATACAAAGTTTACATTGCCCTTAGTAACTAAGCTTCCTCATCTCCATCACCACAGAGTAGA